GTCACCAGTTTTATCTTTCAATACTTAACATTATTTGGAGAAATGGCTATTAAGATACTTGTTTATGTTCTAATTGTCTTTTCATTTAATTGTAGTAGTCACCATTTCATCTTTATTACTTGCTTTTGTTAAATATTTTAACCCTGTAACGATATATTACTTTTATTCTACTGCATAACAAGGGCAGATTTAATAGTTTATAACAACTTCAGTTATACATTCTCAGTTCTATAGATCAGAGTTGTTTGTTGGTTTCTTTGCTTAGCCCCACAAGCTCTTGAATCTGACTTCCTCTTCCCCAGCTGTTCAGAAAGAATTTGTAGTTTAAAGGGTTCATGTCATTAGATTAAACTCATCTGAATAATTTCACAATAATTTTACTTTAAAGCCAACATAACATGGAGACTGGAGAGATAGTACAATGGGTAGAGTGCTTGCTCTGCACACTGCTGACCAGGGCTCAGTCCATTCCCCCCACTACCACCACCGCATGCCATTTGGTCCCCAAACTCTGCCAGGGCTGATTCCTGAGGGCAGAGCCAGAGAGCTAGGAGTAACCCCTTAGCATCGCCAGGTGTGGCCCCAGAACCAAATTAATAAAGCAAAGCAAAGCAAGCATTATTTGAAAGTGAATTTTGTAACTCTCCAGGAACATGGAATCTTGTGGACCACTTTTTAGAGTTATGTCTGACACAGCTGCTTTTGTAGTTATTAGATGATACATCAGGGTTTCTTTCATTTGCATCTTTGGCTACTGTTTCCTTGAGTCTTTGGTGTTTTTCTACTGTCAGACTTTATGAGCTTGCAAAGGACATCAGTGCTCAGATTACCTTGAGTGATCAGGGTTTATCTCACAGTCTCCCTTGGACTCCCTAGGTACTATTTTAAAGTACCTTGGAAGAAAAGAATCTTTTTACCGAGTAGTGAAGCATTGGCATCTGTCATTCCTCTTTTCTTGATTTTTATATTGGTAAATCAGTTCATTCACTTCTTTAATTCCATTGCCTATATTCTGCCACTGCTTTTGGCTAAGGCTTATTGGTGGCCTCTGTCTTGTCACTTCTTAAGTAGTAGTTAAATGCATGAGCTTAAACATCACTCAGCTTGTGTTAGAATCCCAGTCTGGCTATTTCTAACCTTTCTCATCTTCAAATTAATAATATTTTTTAGATTTTTTTTAATATTGTGGAATAATATAGCAAACATATTAGATGATTCTGTTATTCCATACTTGTACAATAAATAGTAGATAGAATATGGGTTTTTTGTTTGTTTCTATTCTTGTTTCTAAACACAAGAAAGAATGAATTGGGCGACTCATTTATCATGTAGTATTGGGCATTGCTTTTCAACCACTGGTCTAGACTGGGAAGATGAGTCAAAGGGCTGCAGCGTATGCTTTGCATGTAGGAACCTAGGGTTTGATTGGGCTCCTGAGCACCACAGGTGTGTCTCAAAAACCAAGAGAAAATAAAATAAAACCACTGGCTTACCAACCACAGTTAATCATCAGCCAACTAGTGATACCAGTGATGAACAACAAGTCTAAAAATGTGGGAAACTACTGGTAAAAAATTTCTCCTTGGACTACTGTAAATATTAAACCAGTTAAGATACTGACTTGATAAATTACATGTTGCACATAGTTTGGAGCAGTTTTGAAATACAGTGCCTTAAAGGAATCACTTCAGGAATTACTTTGAGGGCTGGAGAGATAGCACCGTGGGTAGGGCGTTTGCCTTGCATGCGGCCGACCAGGGTTTGATTCCCAACATCCCATATGGTCCCCTGAGCACCGCCAGGAATAACTCCTGAGTGCAGAGCCAGGAGTAACCCAAAAAGCAAAAAAAAAAAAAAAATTACTTTGACCATTTTAGAGCTATATTTTAATTTTATTTTGTGTTTGGAACCACCTCTGGCTGTGCTCAGCACATGCTCCTGAATCTGCACTCAAGGAACTATATGGGGTGCCAGATATAGTGGTGGGCCACATAAACGCCAACCACTTTACCAATTATACTGTCATCATCAAGTGTGTTTCATTTATCTGACTTGGATAGTTACCTTTTTGTTGTTTTAAGACCATACCTGGCTGTGTTCAGGGGTTACTCCTGACTCTGTACTCAAGATTATGCATTACTGAGATAAACTTATTGTGGTATATTTCTTAAAGTAACAGTTACTCAATTTTTTCTGAATTGACGTTAGCTTCATCTCTTTCTAAGGCTTTAGATTTTAGATTGGTTTCATTGTCCTTTAGACAGAATTGTAATGAATTTTTAAATATTTGTGACTTTCACTAAAATTTCTGCTAGTGCAAACAAATTACTAAAAAATAAATCATATAACCTTCTGGCAAGGGGAATAGTGTAAAATTTCATTGTGAGACATGTATATTTGATTAAGTTTTTGAACATATGAAGTTCCATAAAAAATTGCGAATAATTAGGTCTTTTTTTTTTCCTTCCAAGGTATCCTTTGTGTAGCGGATCAGTGTCATGGCTTACGTGAATTGGCCTTGAACTATCACTTATTAAGTGATGAATTGCTACTTGCTTTATCTTCTGAAAAACATGTTCGATTAGAACATTTGCGCATTGATGTAGTAAGTGAGAATCCTGGACAGACACACTTCCATACGATTCAGAAGAGCAGCTGGGATGCTTTCATCAGACATTCACCCAAAGTAAACCTAGTAATGTATTTTTTTTTATATGAAGAGGAATTTGATCCATTCTTCCGGTATGAAATACCTGCTACCCATCTTTACTTTGGGAGATCCGTCAGCAAAGATGTGCTTGGTCGTGTGGGAATGACGTGCCCTAGACTGGTTGAACTTGTAGTTTGTGCTAATGGACTGCGGCCACTTGATGAGGAGTTAATTCGAATTGCAGAGCGTTGTAAAAATTTGTCTGCTATTGGACTAGGGGAATGCGAAGTCTCATGTAGTGCCTTTGTAGAGTTTGTGAAAATGTGTGGTGGCCGTCTGTCTCAGTTATCCATTATGGAAGAAGTATTAATTCCTGACCAAAAGTATAGCTTGGAGCAGATCCATTGGGAAGTGTCCAAGCATCTGGGTAGGGTCTGGTTTCCAGACATGATGCCCACTTGGTAAAGTCTGAATGTGGAGAGCCAAGATGAGGAGCACCTTTACTTAAACAGACAGGTTTATAATTAAAAAAAGTATTTCCTGTAGTTTTTATGTAATTCTATTTTGTGGCAAGGAAATTTGATACCTGGATTAAGCATATAAGGATTGTTTACTGGGGGAAGACCTGTGAAATAGTTTTGGATAGTAAAAGTGTTTCTGTAGCTTAGTAGCAGTGAAATCTCAGAATGTTAAATGTGGTTCAGATCTTAAAGTAACAACCATTTTTAAAGATTAAGCATTTACAATCTGAAGAAAAGCCTATAGATTTACTAAGAAGTACTGGAGTTAGGAAGTAGCTCAATGCTCAGTGGTAGAGCACTTGCCTTGCACGTATGAGGCCCTGGGTTTGATCCCCAGCAGGTTTTCCAAAAATGTTATGTCCTCTATGCATTTTTTAAAAATGTAAACGTGACATTCTAGGGTCTTTAGTTATACATACACCTGTTATAAGGTGTTTAATATAGCTCAGGAAAGTGAGCATTTTTGAGAAAAAAAATGTAGGGTCTATTGCATCTGATGAAAAAGATCGGTTGAATGTTCTTAAATGTTGCAAAGCTGTTTAAAGTGGTATATGTAAATAACTGGAGCTTTTAGAAACTGGTAAATGTCACACAGTGGGTATCACAGAATAATAAACAGAGCCAAGATCAAATTAAAATTTTTAAAAGGGAGACAATTTAGTTTTGTGTATATTTTAGGTTTTCTCTGTAATCCACTAAAACCATACAAATTATTTTCTGTGACACTATGTAATTTTTACTTGACACATCATGTTAAATGGGGAATGTTTTATTATTTTTTGTTTTTATCTTTGTTTAAAACTAGTTTTGAAATATTACACAATATTTGAAATCACAAGATTTACCTATTAAATCAAAATGATTCAAAGTAGAATATTAAGTTGTTTTAAAATTGCTCCCATGAAAACATACTAGTGTGTCTCCAGTGAATTTTAGTCATGGCTCATTTTTTCATTTTGAAATATACTGTTACATAAGTGGAATTTTCAAAAATTGCAAAAGGAAACCAATGTACAGTTAAGCATAAATAGCAAAGTTAAAAGAAAATATATTTAAGTTTATAATCATATTTGAATAAATATTTCCGTGGACTGAAAAATTTTAATAGAAAAATGTCTAGTTTTGTGATTGTTAACTTATCTAAACTGATATATTAAGTAGCATTTTTATTACTTTGCTATGAATGTTGATAATTCATATATTGTAGAATTTGTAAAAAAATACTAAGTTGGGGACTCTGTTTAAAAATAAAAAAATACTAAGTTGGGGAGGGTATTATATAATCTGTTTTTGAGAACTATTGTTAGTAGATATTGCTTTCCTAATGGAGATTGTAAGTTATTTATCCCCAATGGAACATATTAATGCCTAAAATCTTGGTAATTCTGCAAACTGTTTTACAAATCTAATATACTTTGGGACATATTACCTTCCTGAGAATAAAAAGGTGTTTTCTATGAAGTTTGTGCTTTTCAAAGTGATGGTATTCTAGCCACATTTAAATGAGAAGGAAAACAGCCCAGCCAGGCTTGAAATTAAAAACAATTATTCTAGTATTTTCCTCTCTTTTCAAATAGCAAAAAAAGGTTTGATTGCATAAGAAATACCCTTGTTAGTAACTGAATTATGTTTTTCTTGAACAAGTTTGCAAAATGGATTTGTCAGTTCTACTAACCAAAGCTTTACTTGGGACTTTACTTTTTGTACAATTGAATTATATAAGCTCGAAGTACTTTAAAGTCACTTTATAAGCAAAATGCATAGCACTTGATTGTTTATACTGTATAGTATATGTAAAATGTTTTTTATCAACTTGAGAATAAAGTTACTAAAGCTGTTGTATTAAAGTTAACTCTACGCTTATTTGATTTTAAAATAACAAACATGGTTTTAGTTTCAGACTTCTTTGATATACACAATAGCAAATAATGTTGATTGCAAATCACCGTTTGAAGATACAGGATCAGGGAAACAAGAGTGTCCCTGGAATAAACTAAATTAAATTGTGAAAAGTTAAAGATTGGCCATGAAATTTTTTTCAAATTTTATCAAGAAACATTTGCCTTGCACGCAGCTGAATGGGTTCAATATGGTCCCCTGAGCATTTCCAGTAGTGATTCCTCAGTTAAGAACCAGGAGTAACTCCTGAAACATTGCTGGGTATGGCTCAAAATCAAAGCAAAACAAAAAGAATCTGGCAGAAGTTTGCAATTTCAGCCACTAGATGGTAATAACAGGGATCCAGATATTCTTGAAACATGTTCTGTAGACAACCTTGGGCTTAAGAAACAAAATTAATGAGTGATAGTAGGCATTGTTAATCCAAGTGGACAGCTTAAATTGTTGGTGAGAGAAAGTTCTCCCTCAGCTTCTGAGGATGATTTGTCTGCAGTAGGCAGAATGTTTGTTTGCAAGCTACCTGTGGCAAAGGCTGAGTTTTCTTTTTTAGTTTGTTTTTTTTTAAATTTGTTTTTGGACCACACCCACTAGTGCGCAGGGCTTGCTCCTGACTTATTCAGAAATTACTTCTAACCAGCTCAGGGAATACATGGGGTTCTGAGGATGGAACTCAGATTGGCTATCTGCAAGGCAAGCGCTCTATCCACTGTACTACTGCTCTGGCGCCGAGTTTTATTTTTAGACTTTACAGTGTCTGAACATTTTTTAGTTGATAAAAAAATGAATCAGACACAAAATACAAGCCCCCCCCCCTTTTTTTTATTAGATTCAACAGTAACAAAAGTACTCCAACAACTTGCTTTAAATGTTTGTAAGCCTTATATTTAGCTCCTCACAGAACAGTAATAGATTGGTGTCAGTAACATAGCACTGACTTGACACAGCACTGATTTGAAGCCCACACTTGAATATCACACTCAAACTTGCTTGAGAGTATATTCCATGCAGCCAGCAGAATCTGATGCAAAATGCCGCTTCAGCCTGATAGCTGTGAAACGTTCACTTAACCTTGCTAACCTCCAATTTATTCATTTCGATCAGGTAAACAATATCTGTACTTATGCTTTGTATGAGATCTTAGTGTTAATGCACTAACCTCTCAGGAATCAAATATCAGTTGGAATTGAACAACACAATTAGTACATTTACATTATTAAGCAAATTATTTTCTAAGCTCTCTAGATCATCTTACCAATGGGTGGTATTACTTTGAATGGAGGTATCTTCAGTAGCTCATCAAACATAAGAACTTGAAACCATGCTCAGTGGCCCTTGTGGAGGGAAAGCTACACTGGGTATTCCTTGACAAAACCTACTTTCTTTCTGGGAAATTAAACCTCTTCCACTGAGTTAGCAGCTTACTAGGCAGAGGGATAGAAGAGATAGAGAAGGAGTAAGTCCTCACCAAGGCTTGTGAGCAGTCAGTTATTTCCATGCCCCAGATGTTTGAATAATTGCAAAAGCATTATGCCCATAACACAAAGTCTCGGTGCTAACATGTAAATGGAGGAAGGCTGACATGTAAACTGCATTAAGTAAGATCAAGGATGGCAGTGAGTGCTTGGATTCAACATTACAGCGACTACTTATTGTGGCTTCACTGTGCCATACAAACATGCCTTTGAGCTTTACAATTCTGAGAGATGAATCATTTTAAAATAATGAAACTAAGTCCCAGAGATTAAAAAAAGAAAAGTTGTATAACTTGCAAAATGCCAGTGACTGGATAGTTCTTCAATGGCTTGCAAGAACTTTTAATACTTAGCAATCTGGAAGCACAACTATTCCCATTCTTTTTTTTTTTTTTACAACTACTCCATAATTTAAGGTTTTAGTAAAGAAATCAAAGTCCTAGCTGTGGTGCCAAAAGATTAAAAAGCTGTAAGGTCTAAATTACCAAGCAAAACTTAAAGCTTTATGTCATAGGAAAAAAATTTCTCATGAAAATCAGTCACTGTCACTGTCACTGTCCTCCCGTTGTTCATCGATTTGCTCGAGCAGGCCCAGTAACGTCTCCATTGGAGACTTTGTTGTTACTGTGTTTGGCATATCGAATATATCACGGGTGGCTTTCCAGGCTCTGCCGTGCAGGCGAGATACTCTCCGTAGCTTGCCGGGCTCTCCAAGAGGGGCGGAGGGATCAAATTCGGGTGGTCCATGTTGGCTGCGTGCAAAGCAAACGCCCTACCGCTGTGCTATGAAAATCAGTGAAGGTTATTTTTTTAATCTTGGCATGCACCCATAGCCATGATTTTAGAATACTGGATCCAGATAACTCTGTCTGATATGAACAATAATTAATCACAGAAGGAGGGGCTCAGAGGTTTCACACAATCACTTAACTAGAAGCTTTACTTCTTTCCAAGGCAGGAATCCTGAGCTACACAGTGACTCTTTGCTGTGCATATTACTTTCTGCCCCAAAGAAGACCTAAGACATTCATAAATGTAAAACTACTCCCTGGAAAAAAACAAAATGCTAATGATTGTAGAAAAAGATCTTCAGAATGAAAGTTTTACAATCTGGAGAGTGTTGTGTTTCTATTAGGTAAAGGAATTTCTTCATATGTTATTTTAACAAATGGGAATTTCATAGGTAAAAACCAGTATTCAAAGTTATAAAACAAATAGAACTGTCTGTGTATAACTACTTCATCGAAAATTTGCAAGAAACTGAACAGAAATTCTTTAGTTGACAAATGTGGTTTAAAGGGGTAATAAAATTTTTTTATGGCCAAAGCAAGAGTTTTGTTCCCTGTTGGTCCGAAAACAGATGTTTCATTTCCCAAGTAAGTAGGTTCTCCACTATAAAGAAATATTCTTGTATAATTCGTTTCTATCTTCTTGAACTGTGCTCCAAGGTCAGCCAATTTATTATATGTTCTTAATACAAACTTTGAACAGTCGTAGGATTCAAACCATGTCTCGGCCCCCTTTCCTGGGCTGGCTTGTACTGTCCATGTCTCATAATAGATCCCTGTTTCATTGTCCCATTTCACCCACTTTGCCATTTCGTTGAACATGTTTCCTGTTAAAACAAAATAAAAAATCGGCTAAACATCAAAGTTAATAATCTATATAAAATTTTTTTTTACATAGCACCATAGGACTGTCCTCCCATTATTCATCGATTTGCTTGGCACAAGTAACGTCTCCATTGTGAGACTTGTTACTGTGTTTGGCATATCGAATACGCCACGGGGAGCTTGCCAGTCTCTACCCTGTGGGTGGGATACTCTCAGTAGCTTGCCAGGCTCTCCGAAAGGGATGGAGGAATTAAACCCAGGTCAGCCGCATGGAAGGCAAACGCCCTACCTGCTATGCTATTGCTCCAGCCCTTTTTTACACAGATAAGTTATGGATGACATGAATAAACAGGTTTTGAATTTCCAAACCTACATCTTAATAAGTAGGTTTTTATTAAGCCAATTTTTATAAGCCAATTTTTATTCCGTTCTTCAAAAACAGGGTTGTAAAAAAAAAGTGCACATTAGATATATAGCTAAGTCTTAAATATTTTATAATAATTTAAATCACTGATTTTCTACCTTTTTATACCTGGGGGTTGGCAGCCGTCTGTAGACTGGCGGCTGGAAACCACTGAGGGAAGCTAGTCAAAAGCAACATGCATAAGCCTTTTTATTTTTTCCCTCTCAAGAAATCTTGATTCAGTGCCAAAAGAGATCAAACAAGGCAGAGGGAAAAGCAGCAAGAGAACTTATAAGAACTGAGGATTGTGAAATTGCAGAGCTTTTCTGCTGCAAAGCATGAGTACAGTACTGATGGGGGTGGCCACCTATGGGACAGGAACAGCTGGCTGGAAGAGGAAGCATCCTGCCACATCCACCTGGAATATTTGGCATTTCCTACAATCTCTTCGTTTGCAGCTGCTGTGACTCTGCTTACCACCTCCTCAGGCACCATCCTTCCACTGCATGAACTAAACTGGAAATACTTCTGACCACATTCACGGGATATATGAGAATCCATGAAGTTAGTTCTCTCCTACTACCTTGCACCTTGCACCTTGCACCTTGCACCAGGACTCTCCAAAGGGTACCAAAACAGTGTATTCTGCATGCTTATAACCTCACCTGGGAATTCATCATCAAGCCTACTAGAGCTTGGTCCTACCATGTCACTTTGCATCACTGTATGTGAAGCTTTCTTAGGTTGTTCCACCTTTGAATCCACCAAATCAAAATTCTTCATGAGCCTATAAAATGGAAAAGTGGCTGCCTTTTATCAGTTTTATGGAAGGAAGCTATGCAATAATACTAAAGCTTCTTGGTTTTTGTTCAGGGGCCACTGCCCGACAGTGCTCAGGGTTTACTCCTGGCTCTGTGCTCACAGGAATCACTTGTGGCAGGCTCCAGAGACCTTATGGGGTGCAGGGGTTGAACACAGGCCAGGCATGTGCAAGGCAAAGGCCCTACCCGCTGTACCATCTCTGGCCCCATGGATGGGTCTTTTTTTAGAAGTGGGTACTGTTCTTTCTATTCTGCAACTAAAAGCCACCACTTTTAAGTCACTGTAATTAAGAATGTTTCAGAACACTTATTTTGTAAACAAAACAAAAGGTAACAAGCAACTAATCAAGGCTATTGGGTACTTAAAGATCTAAGTTCCGGCAAATTACAAAGAGAAAGGAGTGATGACTTGTTCATATGAGCATACTTTGATGACTGAAGGAAGTTTCAGAGAACTTTATTTACACCTGAATAAACACCTGAAGTTTATTCAGGTGTAAATAAAGGAAAAATTTGAAATGCCCTAGACTGAAAGAGCTTGTAGCTATTATACTGAGCATCATTAAAGGAAAAATGGCCTTTTATATTATTGAAATAGTGTGGGACACCTCATTTAGAAAGCAGATGGAAAGAAGATTAGAAAACAGCGTGGTGGGTACTTTAAGATGCCCAGATTCTATTCTTGCTTCTACATCCAGCTCTGTGATCTGAGGAGACAGGTAATCCACACACCTGGCGAGCACTAATTTTTTTCCATGGGGTGAGGGGGTGGGGGAGGAGAAGTACCAGGTATCAAACCCAGGGCCTCACATATACAAGGCAAATACTCTACCACTAAGCTCCAGCTCCAACACAGAACCGTAATTTTTTGTTTGTAAACAAGAGGATCTTTTCCATTGAGCTGTGCATTAACACATTTGAAAAAGCTTTGTAAAGAGCTCTATCTACAAGTAGAAAGCATGACAATTACCAGAAGATTCATGGTGCAGTTAATTCTTACAAACTGCTTTTATTTCGGACTTTTTCACTTTCGGGAGGAACAATAACTTATAAACTGTTAAGAGTCAATTCCAGGCTGGATCGATAGCACAGCGGGTAGGGCATTTGCCTTGCAGGTGGCCGACCCGGGTTCGATTCCCAGCATCCCTTATGGTCCCCTGAGTACTACCAGGAGTAATTCCTGAGTGCAGAGCCAGGAGTAGCCTCTGTGCGGCGCCAGGTGTGACCCAAAAAGCCAAAAAAAAAAAAAAAAAAAAAGTAAATTTCCTCCCTGCAAAATACAGCTGGACCTAAAATACTCCTGATCCAAGTTCTGCTGGACTCTTCCTTTACCATCGTTATAATGCAGGCAGCAAAACCCTACTATTTTCAACAACTTTTTGCTATTTCAATTAATACCTCAAAAATCCAAAAGATCTCATAGAAAAGATGTCTAAAAAGGAATCTCAAAGGCAAAAAACCCTGTATGTTGCAGGGGGCATCGTATTTAAGAAAAAAATCAATAGGCCCGACTGCTATTTACTTTTGTGACTTGAAAACTTTTTATGCCTTCATTTCCCCTTTTGTAAAATTGGAAAAATACAGTAACTATCGCAGGAAGGTTAATGAAGATGAATCATTTCATATGTTGTAGAATGCTTACAACACGAGTAGGTCCAGAGTTCACTTGAGTGCTAGCTATAATTCTTAATATAAAAGTGAGCATTACTTCAAGTCTTTTTCCAGATATAAAGGGCCCTTTATTTTGTGTTTTTTGGGGGCTACTCTTGGTGGTGCTTGCGGGGAGGGTCATAGTGGGCAGGGGAATGAACCTCACACAAAGCAAAGTGCTCCAGCCCTCTGAGCCATTTCCCCAGCCTTAAACATGTTCTTTGATCTTTTTTTTTCAGGCAGCTTATGGCTTTACCACCACTATACAATCCAATTATACAAAATGTTTCATTATTTCATTCATTTATGCCAGGGGAATAAATCAGAAGATAAACTATAGATTCTATAGAGATGAAGTGTTGCAGGTTTGGGTGAATGGTTAGTCGTCTCTGTAGCACATCTTATTACATGACCTGTAAAATAAGGACAGCATCGGAGCAGGAAAGATGATATAGCGGGGAAGGTTTGCATGAGGCTGACCCTGGTCTGGTCCCTGGCACCAATCATAGTCCCCTGAGTACTGCCTGGGTGCAGAGCCTGGAGTAAGCCCTGAGCACTCTTGGGTTTCCTGAACCCCACCCACCCACCCAAATTCGGAAAAAAAAGAGAACATTGCTGAAATGCCTCAAGGAGGATCATCTTTCATTTGCACTGATGTAATTATACACGGCCTTTTTTATTTTTCCTTAAGCTTACCTGATATAGTTGCTACTAGCTCTAACGTCCCATTTTCCTTCCAGTGAATATCATCAATTCCTTCAAAAAAACAGGCAGCCCCTTGGTTACACCAGAAAGGGGCATTCATTTCAGGTCGGAGATGGGGAAAGGTGCAGTTTCCCAGCTGGAAGAGCTCATACCATTCCATCGTGTAGTTTTTGCCAGTAGATGTACTCCTGAATCCAATGGCATCATGCATGATTTTCTGTGGAAAGACAAAAGCATTTGTGTTACAAAAGCATTTGTGAGCTCACCAGTAGTGCTGGAGCCAGAAGAGAGGAAATGTCCACAGCAGCTTAACAGAACAGTTACTCAGCTCATCCTCTTTTATGTTGCTTTTCTCATGACCCTCTACGGCTCTTGAAACTCCAGCGCCTCCTCCACTTGGCATTGGCTACTGCAACTCAGCTGCAATGGGAGGGCTGTGTAGTACGTGGACACACACCTAGTACCCATAAGTCTCAGAATGAGTTGAAATGTTTCCATGCTCAGGAAGGACATCTCTGTGCATCGGGAGTAATAGGACGCTCCAGTGGTAAGCTAGGTAGAGTACACATAACAGACCTGAAGGTGAGGAAGCACTTCTTCCCTGTCTTGCCCCTTTGCCCAGGTCTCCCCTTCCTTACTTCCCAGGATCTGGTTTGGATCCCGATTATTCAGAGGGATTAGGATGACTGCTTCTGGTATCACCTGAATCACAAAAGCTTATATATATATATATATATATATATATATATATATATATATATATATTATATATGTATATATGGCTGGAGTGATAGCACAGCGGTAGGGCGTTTGCCTTGCGCGCAGCCAGCCTGGCCGAGCCAGGTTCGATTCCTCCGCCCCTCTCAGACAGCCTGGCAAGCTACCAAGAGTATTCAATATGCCAAACACAGTAACAAGAAGTCTCATAATGGAGACGTTACTGGGCCTGCTCGAGCAAATCGATGAACAACGGGAGGACAGTATATAATATATATTAATAAGATATATATAATTTAATAATATATATTATTAAAGCTTATATATGTATATATTATTAATGATATATATATTATTCTTTTTAAATAAGCTCTAAAATAATTAAACCTAAACATGATTTCAAACCATCTATTTGAATAGTGGCTGTTTCTTCAAATTCACTACCTCAATAATTTACTTCATCAAAGTTTGTAAGTTCAAGACACAGCCTTACCAAGTGTCCTAAGAGGCCTCCATACTTAAATTCCCACACAGGAGCCTGCAAGCGAAAGACTTCGATGGTATCATCCTCCTTCATGACTGGGAAAGGAGAGCCAGTGGGACAGAAGGTGTATTTAGCTTGACAATAGGGATCTGCTTCCGGGCGGAAGGAAAAGCGTCTAAAAGAAACCAATTTTAGAATTTTCATTTCATCATCACTAACATGTTTAAAGAAAACATTCAAAGATCAGCCCAAATTGTATAAGGTAACATTTGATTTGTTATCCCATAAAATAAACCCCAATGATATCCTAGCAAGCAAATGACATTTTAAAACACTTTTGTTTTTCTTTTTGGGTCACACCCAGCAAGGCTCAGGGGTTACTCCTGGCTCTGCACTCAGGAATTACTCCTGGCAGTGCTCAGGGGACCATATGGGATGCTGGGAATTGAACCTGGGTCAGCTGTGTGCAAGGCAAACGCCCTACCCTCTGTGCTATTGCTCCAACCCCTTAAAACATTTTTTTGTTTTAAATTATAAGGACAATTTATTAAAAAAATTTTACATTGAGATTCTGTGGTTTAAATGCTGTAACAGTTTTATAATGGTTTCTTTTTTTTACCTTTTTTGGGTCACAACCGTTAGTGCACAGGAGTTATCATGCACTCAGAAATCAGGAATTACTCCTGGCGGTGCTGGGGGGACCATATGGGATGCTGGGAATCAAACCTGGGTGGGCCGCATGCAAGGCAAACACCCTACCCTACTGCGCGATTGCTCCAGCCCCTATAATGGTTTCTTAAGCACTCGATTCTACCACCACATCCAGCACCAGTGTCCCCCTCCCTTTGCCAAGGACACCAACACCTTGCTTTCTTGCCCCCCTCACCGGCGCAATTGTGTGGATCACTGTCACTGTCACTGTCCTCCCGTTGTTCATCGATTAGCTCAAGCGGGCCCAGTAATGTCTCCATTGGAGACTTTGTTGTTACTGTGTCTGGCATATCGAATACGTCACGGGGAGCTTGCCAGGCTCTGCCGTGCAGGCAAGATACTCTCGGTAGCTTGCTGGGCTCTCCGAGAGGGGCGGAGGAATCGAACTCGAGTTCGGCCATGTTGGCTGTGTGCAAGGCAAATTCCCTACCGCTGTGCTATGGCTCCAGCTGTTACTGGGCCCACTCAAGCAAATCGATGAACAACAGGAGGACAGTGACAGTGTGTGGAGCAGTTCTCCCATTATGTTACCTCTGGAACTTTGTTACTTCCTTGCTATCTTTAAGTCCCACTAGAACACTAATAGTAAATTCATTCTTCCCTCTTTCCTAGCTTCCACTCTGAGACCATATTATAAAATGTTTCCTAGCTGAGGGCCTAGAGTGATAGTACAGTGGCTGGGCCTTGATCACAGCTGGGCCCTATCTCTGATGCCCCATACGTTACCTCAAGCATCACCAGGAGTGATCTTTGAGTGTGTAGCCCCAAAACAAAACAAAAAGTTTGCACCAGTCCAGATCTTTAGAATGGTAGACAAATAGTTACTGAACAAATGAATAGTTCCCTGTCATGTTTAATTTCCCAAATTAAACATGAAGACATTTTAAATATAAGTTGATGAAATAGACTTTTCTATTTTCTTAAGCACTAAACAAGATCCGATTACACAATATTCACCAAGGAGCCCCATGTGAAAGGCCCTATACTGGGGAACTTCAGGGAGTCCAGAGCCCCTCACTGTGATATTGACCCAACCTGGGCATAAGGATGTGGTGCCACTCAGACTGTGAGGTGTCAGACACACCAGCATCACCTTGGCCATGCTCAGGAGGCCATGTGGTACTTGGGGATGGAACCCTGATCAGCTGGACCCTGGATGCACCCACCTACTACACTATCTCCAGGCCCTGATAAACACATTTAAATCTTGTCCCAGCCCTCCCCACTCCCCTCCCCCCCACACCGTGGGAAACTCTGGGTTGGGACTGGAAGAAGTTAAACAGCAATGGAGTACCAGGGATAAAGCTAAAGACAGAATACCCAACAGGCACAAAAAAGGGGAAAAGCATCTTAAGTGCTGGGGATGGAGGCAAGGAGACAAAAGAAAGAGGTGAAGACCTGGCCTCAATTTTTAAAATATTTTAGAGACATCGTACAAGCGGACAGGACACTGTCCTTGCACACAGCCAACCTGGGTTCGATTTCCCAGCATTATGCATGTCCCCATATGGTGCCCACCAAGCCCACCAGGAGTGTTTCCTGAGCTCTGAGCCAGGAGTAAACATTGAGCACTGTCAAGTGTGGCCCCCAAATGAACAAAAAGAATATACTTCAGAAGCTTGTGAAAGTGAGAAAACAGAACATACAGTAATACTAGTATGGCACTTTAGACTCAAGAAGGTGATGAGAAGATATGTACATTCAAATTATGCAAATTGAGTTGTTACAAAAACGCAACAAGAAAGTAACATGACTATTGCCCTGGCATTAGGACTAAAAGGGGAAATGCTGTTGAATTTACCCCATGAGACACTTAGTTCCAGTTCCCCTTTCTCACTTATTTTTTTGGGGGGAGGGGGGGTCACACCGGTGATGCACAGGAGTTACACCTGGTTCTGCACTCAGGAATTACTCCTGGTGGTGCTCGGGTGAACATATGGGATGCTGGGAATTGAACCTGGGTCAGCCTCATGCAAGACAAACACCCATCCGCTGTGCTATATTGCTCCAGCCCTTCCCCTTTCTCACTTTGAACCAGGAGGCAGAAAGGAAGAAAAAACCAACTACTTCTGTCTGACCCTTTAAGAATCCTTGATTCCTAAGGTTCCAACCAAATATATTGTTTTACATTCCTAACATACTATTCACTGTCACTGTCCTCCCGCTGTTCATCGATTTGCTCGAGCGGGCCTAGTAACGTCTCCATTGGAGACTTTGTTGTTACTGTGTTTGGCATATTTAATACATCACGGGGAGCTTGCCAGGCTCTGCCGTGCAGGCGAGATACTCTCGGTAGCTTGCCGGGCTCTCTGAGAGGGGCGGAGGAATCAAACTCAGGTCGGCCATGTTGGCTGCGTGCAAGGCAAACGCCCTACCGCTGTGCTATTGCTCCAGTCCAACATACATACTATTAAGAATTCCAATTTTCATATGTGCTTAATTTGTTCAAAGAAATATCTGTGAGAACTTATTACAAAATTTATGATATTCACTTAAGTGGATAACCAGGAATCACAAAACTTATAGAGAAACACAAAGGCATACTCTATTCTTTATTTTTTCTTTTTGAGCCATATCTGGTGGTGCTGCGGGGACCACGGGGTGCCTGGATTCCAGTGGGGTTTGCAAGCAAAGTAACTGGGCTCCAGTCCTTGATGCCATCTCCCTAGCCTGCCTTATTCTTAAGAAGTTCAAGATTTTCAATTGTTGTTTAAAATAAATATTCTATTTTTAACATCTGAGGCAGCTTTATTAGCATGTTCAAGAAATCAACTTTCCAGGTCAAAGCAACAGTTCAGTGAGCAGAGTTTTTGCCTTGCACGCGGCTGACGTGGGTTCAATCCCTGGCACCAGACATGGCCCAGAAGTGACCCCTGAGCACAGCACTAGGAATAAGACCTGACCTTTCTGATTAAATCCTGTCTCCTGACTCACGGCACGTGGGACAAGATATTGAGCAACATTCCCTGGATCATTCAGTCAGTAAACATGGGGCCTGATTTCACCCTCTGCGATTTGAACCCTGATCTCATTCCAGAAGACAGATTTCCAGGAAGCTTTCCCATCTCTATACCGTGTTACCCAACAGTCTCGCTCTGACAAAAGTGCTAAAAGTGACTGGGCTTATATTCCTATAAATGGCCCACTACAATTAGCCTATTGTTGATATTTATATGAAACTGCCCTTATATGTTATTTTTAATATTTCCAACGAGTGATCCATGCCTTAATTTCACCTGAGATTCTGTCACGGTCACGGTCACGGTCCTCCCGTTGTTCATCGATTTGCTCGAGCGGGCAAATCGAGATTCTGTAAGTTTAATTAATTTAAACTTGATACTCTTTTCATTTTAATCTGACCTTGCGTGGACTTTTAAAAATCAAATTCTGAAGCAAAAAAAAAAAATGTGTCTGAGTTTCCCCCCTCTCTTTGCTCAGCCATTCCTGGGCATCTGCGAAAACGCAAATGCTCTAGTTCTAGGATGAACCTCTGAATCAACCTCAAGGCAGCAAGCAGTGGCCTGACCAGCTCCCCATGCCCCGCCCCCTAACCTGACCTACCGGGGCCAGGACCAGGACGGGGATGGATTTCCGGGACAAGGCGGCCTTTCAGTGCTGAGATCGACGGGTCCCGGATGGTTTGACTGTGGACTGTGCCAAAAGTGATGCCATCTAATACCAGGACCAACACTCAACCATTTATCGCGATCTCAACAGTCTCCCCAAACTAACCGGGGAGTTCGGTCCTGGTTACTAAAAGGCACCCCTTTCGGGGCTGGAGAAATCCTACGGTGGGGTAGGGGCGCTTGCCTTGCACGCATTCGACCCGGGTTCAAGAACCACCTGCATCCCATGGGGTTCCCCGCGCCCAGCCGGAGTGATCCCTGAGCCCCGCCGGGTGTGGCCGCCAAAACTTAATAATAGTAACAGTAAGAAAGAAGATGCCCTTGTTAAGTCACACCCCTTTCTGCCCACGATCCGGGACTCTCCTGGATCTTTCAAAGGCGCAAACATCCGGGAAGATCCCAGGGCTGCGGGTCCTCCGCCGGCGCCCGGGGTGTCCGCGCGCCCCGCCCGGCCCTGCGCGCGCCCGCGCCCGCTGTCACTCACTTGTAGGGCACCGGCCACCGCGGCCGGGAGGGCTCGGCCTCCGCCGCCGCCGCCGTCGCCGCCAGCCAGAGCAGCGTCAGAGCCCAGCGTCCGCCCGAGCCGCGACCCCCCAGGGCCCCCGGCTCGCAGTCCCCGGCCCGCGCCATGCGGCGGTCCCGCTGCGCCGCTCCCCGAGCTCCGGCCCGGCCGCTAGGGCGCATGCGCCGAAGAGCCGCCCGGGCCTTCGCGTCTGCGGGGCGGGGCGCGCTTGGCCCCGCGCGTGGGGGGCTCCCCAACTTGGTGCGCTGGGTTGTGGCTTCCGGAGAGCCTCCTCTTTCTCGGACAAGGCAAGGCTGATCGCTACATCTCACGATGCAAAGCTGCCTTTGAGCTTTGAGCTTGGTTGACATTGCCCACGTCCCGCCTACCCCCCCCCCCCCAAAAAAAAAGGTCCCCAAACCCCCAGTGGTGTCCCGGCCGTCAAAGCCTTTGCTCCCGGGCGCCTTCTTCGCGTTCTCTAGCAGCGAACTCTCTTACAATGCCCCGCAGGACCCAGCACAGACGGTATTAGCCTAACCTTAGCCTGTGTTAACTCTCCTAAAGGTCACTGTCAATTAGAGTATTTCCTGGTTTTGGAGTTTGTTGTGTTTGGGGCTTGGGTGTTGTGCCATACACTGGCATGCCCCTTGGTGGTGCTGGGGGGAACCTTTGCTGTGCCAGCCCCTCGCCTCCTGTCCCCCGGGCCCCATTTTCACCCCCTACTGACCTAAGCATTTAGGTGATTACACTCCTGTCTCTCCTCCAAGAAATACCAGGGTCCAGCTCAGAAGCCCTGGCGGGAGGGGGAGGGGGGGTGCATCTTTCTGTAGGAGCGGGGAGGGGGGGCGCAGAGATAGAGGCTTCGCTTAGGCCATGGGTTTGTGCGCGGGGACCCACGCGCACGGGGACCGGGGCGACACTGTCCTTGCTTCCTGCGGGTCACCAGACCGAGCGCGCGCTGGAACGTATCTCCCGCCTCAGGTCTCTCCCTTGCCACCACTTCGCGGGGTGGGGTGAGATGTAGGAGGTTCTGCATCATTGGGGAGGTGGGGGTGGGGAGCTTTAAAAAATAAGAGGCATTTCCAGAAAATAAGAGAATTGGGCCAGAGCCCTCTAGCCGGGGACCAAGGAGCACCGAATTGTGGCCCCTCCGGGGCACTGACTGCCGCCAGGGGTCACTCCTGAGCACAGAACCAAGACTAGCCCACTGAGCATCGCTGGGAGAAGCCCCCACCTCACCCCAACCCTCTCCGCAAAAGCGGGTGAGTCACCACGCGCCTTTGATGAATCTTGTTGTACACAAATGTGAAGTTTCGTCTGCTAAGAGCACATTCGAGGTGTTTCGCAAAAGAGCAGCCTATAGAGCTCATTAACAGCACAGGTGAACAAGAAAGGACAGTCCGCAGTGGCTAGCAGTGACACCACTGACCCTGGTGACTGGGGGGACTCGTTAGCTTCCTCCATCCTCCTGAGGGCTGACAGATTTAGGGGTCCTTCCCCGCACACGCATCCCCTTGCCTCCAAACTGGGGGCTTCGCTGGCAGTTCCGGCCAGGTCCTGTTCATTGGAGGGGGTGGGAGTTGGGGCTACATCAACAATCAAAACAAAAGCCCCAAATAAAAATATTTTCTATAAAATTGAAAAAATATTTTGGGATTCAGAATTAAGCGCGGAGATTAAGGCCCTTGCTTGCATGGACTGCTATCCATTCACTCCCAGCACCATCAGGAGTAAGGCCTGAGCACAGCCAGGGGGGCCCAAAAACAAAAGAAAACAAAAGGGAAAGAGGTATTGTTAGCAATATTAATATTCTCATTTGAAATAAGTGACAGGGAAGTTACTTTAGTCCAGTAAAGGACGAACATTTTGGCACTTGCCATTTTTATGTGTGTTTGCTCTTTCACTTAAGAAGTTTCAAAGAGTGCTTGTTTTAAGTCTGGGTACAGCTTCCTGGCTGCCTCTTAAACTCCCCCGCAGAGCTGGGAGGCTCTGCAATTCCTAGATGCGCTGCAATTCCAAGGTGCGCTGCTTCTGCAGGTCCATCCGCGTCATGGACCACCAGAAGGACTTCTTGCGAAGAGCCTGATGCTCCGCCAGGGGGCGCGCCAGTGCCAGAACCACGTTGCCTCATCCTGGCAATGCTCTGCAGCGAAGTGCCCAAGGTGAAGCATCTGCTCAGTCCTTGAGCTCCTGAGCAAGACGCGTCCTCCTCTTCCCTCAGTAGCCTGTGGAGCTGAGGAGGATCGGCTGCTTCCAAAGACCTTTTTCCTTTCCTGAGATTTATTTCTTTGAAATTCAATCTGTCCAGCACTCATCATCCCTCTGCCCTGGAGTCCCCAACTACTGAACTGAGCCCTGAGTAGTACAGAGCTACTAGGGGTCTTCGCCTTGCAAATGTGAGTGCTAGGGAACACGGGCTCTGCTTAGCCCCCAAAATTCGTCACCCAGCTGCTCTGTGCCTTATTTCTTTTGTTTTGTAGTGACATCTGGAAATATGCAGAGACTCCTGCCCCCATGCCTGGCTGTCCTCACCCGGGCCCCTGGGGGGGGGGGGGCGGGTTGAGTTTCTTTCCCGGCCCGAGCAGAGCCCCGGCAGCCAAAGACCTCCAGAACCAGCCACAGCCATGCTGAAACCACTCTCCACACATCCGGATAAGCCTAACGCATGAATGAACCGGCAGAGGAACCCAGGCATGCGGGTCCCGGAGCTGAGATCTCCAAGCCTGCTCAGATGAGACTGGGCTTTCTCCACCCAGATTCCCCATCTTCCAGAAGGTAGGCGTTACACCCACCAGCTGCTGCCGGCGCCAGGTGATCCCTTCAACGGCCAAGACCCAGAGACTATAAAATGCAGCTCCAGGAAGTGCACGGCCACATTTGTGGCTGCGCGACATTTTATTATCTTGTTTTTACTTTGGAGAACCCGAACCGGTAGGCTACCAAAAGTATCCTGCCCACACAGCAGAGTCAGGCAAACTTCCCGTGTCCTACTCAATATGCCAAATACCAGTAACAATGATGGGTCTCATTCTTCTAGCCCTGAAAGAGCATTGAATATTGCTCTTTTAAAATCTCAGGGCTAGGAAGAAGGAGACATTACTGGTGCCTGCTCGAGGCAATCGACGAACAACAGGATGATCATGATCGTGATCTTGAAATATAAATAATAATAATAAAATAGCATCTTAACTGCTCTTTTTTTATCTACTCTTAATGCTGTTATTCAGTGCATTAACCTCACACTATTGTAGACAGCCATAGCACAATTTATTTTCAGAACTTTCCAGTCAATGCCAGCTGTTCCCATTGGTGATTTCTTTTAATCTTCTTTGTTATTGTAGTTGAGGTAACATAGTTACAGTTGTGTTAAGTTTATGTTTTTGATCTATGTAATGATTGTAGTTCACCATTTCACCACCCCCCGGAGTATCCAAGGTGGTTCACCACTATCTTTAAGTCATTTCTTTCCCCACTAGCAGTTTCATCCATCTCACTATGGCTTGATCACCTCAGTTCCGTGATCAAAGACCAGGGGTTGGTTATGGTTAGATATTACCCACTCCCTGGCTTAGCCTCTATACCACAGATGAAGGAAGATCACCTGCTGTGTGTCCTCCTCCCTCTGACTTATTTCACTAGGAGATGATGTCTCATTGTCAATTTGATTTGGATTCCCCTGATAATAAGAGATGATGAGCACTTTTTCATGTGCCTATTGGCCACCCATCTGTCTTCTTCAGAGATGTGAGACCAACTACTTTAGAAAGACTTCAACAGTTGACTTAACCAATTCTCCCACATTCCTCAGGCTGAATGTTTCTACCAACAAAAGGATATCCTCTTTTTTCATCTCTTTAACACACACACACACACACACACACACACACATACACTTAAATTAAGGGAAGATTCCACTGCTTATATTTACCAGTTTCTTTATTCATTCATCCCATTCTTGGACAGTTGAGTTGTTTCCAGATTTTGGTTATTGTAAATAATGCTACAGTGAACATGGTAGTGCAAATGTATTTTCCAGAGTTTTTGGGCCTATGGGATAGATGATAAGAAGTGAAATTGCTGGATTATAGGGAAATGCAATATTAGTTTTTTTGAGAAGAAACGATGGTACCTGTACACAGTGGAATGCTACTTGGCTATAAGGAAAGGAGAAAAAAAAATCATACCATTTGTTTTGTGTTAATGACCCTGGAGAATATCATGCAGAGTAAAGTTAGAAGCAGAGGGACAGTTACAGAATTCTCTCAATATCTGGGATATAAATAATCATACTAAGAGCATAGCAAATGCCCAAAGGCAACAACAAAAAAAAAGAGACCTGGTCTGCAGAAAGAGACTGACCTTGGGGGGATGGGAGGGATGAAATCATGAGGGGAGGACCCTGGGATGATGGTGAAGGCAGGTGGACAGCTGGAACACTTTTCTGCATGAAATCCTACCATTATGGCAGGAGTAATCGTACAGCAGGTGGGGCATTTGCTTTGCCCGAGGCTGATCCAGGTTCAATCCCCTACATCCCATATGGTGCCCCAAACACTGCCAGAAGTAATTCCTGAGTGCAGAGCCAGGAGTAATCCCTGAGCCTCATCGAATGTAACCCAAAAAAAGCAAAAAAAAAAAAAAAAAAAAAGAAGAAAGAAAAAAAAGAAAAGAAACCCTACCACTGACAGTATTGTTAATCACGGTGCTTAAAATAAAGAGAAAAGGAAAAGAAAGATCACAGAGCATTTCTATTTTCTCTCCCGCACCCATACCAGCTGTAAAATCTACGCAGGCTGAAGGTTGTGTTTTTGCGGGCTCTCTGGATGGCTCTATCTCACCACCCGTGTTCAGTGCTCTAGAGCCACTGTGTGTGGATGGCCAAGGAAAAAAGGAAGGAGGAAATGTGAGCCAGGCTGGTTGGTCTTAGTTGCATTTTACTTCCATCCTCTCTCCATTTACTCCTGTCTCTCCAACTCCCCAGCCCTCTGGGCTGACACTGCACCCAATCAGGTAGCAAAATCAACATAGGAAAGCCCTTCCTGTGGGCCCACCAGATTCAAAGGGAACACCACCTAAGAGGTATTCCAAAGCCCTTCCTGACTGCCCAAGGGCAAAATACCCCTTAAGGTGTTTTTCTCTTTTCCTTAATCCAATAA